TCAAAGACACGTGGGCTAAATGTATATGAGTAATTGATTAATTTTGCATTTATTTCAGAAACATATACATTTAAAAACAGATACATTTAAAAATAGAGAAGCAATTTTGGCATCTGCTATTTTTTTCTCACCACTGTTGTTCTTAATAGTCCCTTTTCTTATTTACATCCCACTTATTATTTCATGGGATAGATACTAATTCTCAACCTCTAAAATAAAACTTTTGAACACAAGGAAGATGTATGAAACTTTGAAAATGTTATCCTTAGATCTGACATCTAATCTTTGAAAGATTAAATCTAGGATTCTTAAGAAAAAAATGTTATTTTTCATAGTAACTAACATGAATGAAGAATCCTCACCTTGTCTCCATCTTCCCCAGGGGAGCCAGCAGGGCCAGCGGGCCCCGGGAGACCCACGGGGCCTTGTGTTCCATCTCTCCCTGCGGGGCCTTGGGGACCTTTTTCTCCCTGCATTGAAAATCCAGCAGATTGTCACTTTGCTGTAGGAAATCTATAAATGAGCTACTTGTTACAATTTTTAAGTGCAGCTATAGCAGCAATACTCTGGCTTCCATATTTGACAAGGAAATTGCTTTAATGTTCCCCCCAAATATATTTTCCAGTAGCAAATGATAACACAAAGATTCCTACATTCTTTCATGAAGAAGAATACTATTGTTAGCAATTTATGAATCTCAAGTTATGATCCATACAAAAAATTACAACTCAACTTAGAATTTCTCTTTCAAACACACATTTTTGAATCAAGTATTATGTATTGATAAATTAAATGCTTGATGTTTGTGAAAAGTCACTGAGCCTCTATTCTTCTGTGGTGCCACTGAAATAGCTGGACAGTGGCTATTAAGTCCCCAAAATATAAACTGTATTGCCTCATATGCCCAAATTTATAGTCTGCTTTATGTGCAGGCTTTTTCTATTTTTAACAGATGTTTTGATATTTTTTCTAGATTTTGATATTTTAATTCATTGCTGCTTCCACTGATTCAAAATGACAAGGCTGTTAGCTTTTTCTGTTGTTTATTCTTTGCCAACGGCATTATCTTCCTGTTTTAAAATTTACCTATATTGCGTAGTTTAAAAAATAGTGCCCTGACAATGAAGATGGCAAAAATAAAAAAAACACCTTTCATAGCTTAAATAAATAATTTCCTAAATGTCAAGACTTCATCAGTTTTGCACAAGGTATGTGCCTGATTGCACTCAGTGGTTCTCTCTTCTCCTGCTGGACAAGCAGGGGATCCAGGTCATTAGCTCCCACCTTGGCTTCCCCCTGCTCCCCACCCCTTTCCCTCACCACCTCCTGTCCCTTTACGATGATTAACTTTTATCTCTTGAATATATTTACTTCCCTTTATCTCTACTATTATCATCTTCCCAAAATACTAGTGGTCTTCCTCTGAACTACTGAAATAACCTCCTTCTTTTCACACATCTGTTCTTACCTCCAAACTATTCCCTCTGCTGTGACCAGAGAGACAATCAGATCATCTTATCCACATTCTTCAGTCAATTTACTTGTTGACACTTCCTAAGATAAAGACCAAGCTGTTCTGTGGCCTGCCATTACCTGGCTCCTACTGCCTGCGGAGCAGCGTCTAGTCTCCTCTTGTCTCTGCTCTCTGTGTTTCAACCCCTCTCGATCTTTTCTCAAGTTAAACTCAATCCCGTGCCCTTCCTGACACTTGGCCTGAGTGCATGTTGTTCATTTGGCTTGGAATGCCCCCAGGAGGACCCTTCACCTAGTTAATTCCTCCTTATCTTTCATGTTCCATCATCAATGTCCTGTCCAAGGAAAGGCTCTGATTCCAGCTTAGGTCCCTCTGTTACAAGCTGACATGCACCAGCTTCTTTGTATCATTGAGCAGAGCCTGTAATCATGCATGTACTCAGTGGTTCCTTGCTTATCATCTAATGCCCCATCAGGCAATAAACTGTGTAAGGGCAGAAACGGTGTCTGTTTTTTAATCCCATTGTATCTCCCTGGCCTGTGGCCCAGAGCAGCCATTTAAGGGATATTTGCTGAGTTAGTTAATTACTTAATGACAATAAAAAAAACAAAATATCTCTAAAACGAAGTTAACTTGTTAGCTTTGATTTCTTACTTTATTGGGTTCCATAAAAGCTTATTTTTCAGAATTGCACCATAACTACCATTTAACACACACCCTTGATGTCACGCTGGAGAGTTTTTATTTCTTTCAAATTAAATATTACAATGTCTCAAACTTATTTATACTCATAAAATGTGCAATGAATTTCACTATTTAGAAGACATCAGCCGATTCAGATAGTTCTCCTTAACAGGTTTCCTTGAGAGCCTGAACGCCAAAAACCAGTTCTTTTATATGAGTGTTATCTGTAAGTAAGACAGAATAATTCTTATCTGCCTTCATTACAGTATACGTAATCTCTAGCCACAAATCACCTGCCATTTATTTCTTCTGCCCTTGGTCTGTGTGGAGTCAGGAAAAGCCTTCCAGCTGACCTACCCCATTCTAAATTTAGACTCTTCATTCCAACCTGCAAGATGACAGACTCTTCTTCCATTAAGAAGAGTCTTCCATTCCTGGCCCACAACCTACAGGGCTCCCGGAAAGTCATCCATCCTGCCTTAAGCAGTCTTTATTTCATCACTTCTACCCCTTCATTAATATTAATAGCTGAATCTTACCTTAAAAATTGAAAAACAGCAGCTACTCATCCCCGTGTCTTAAGCTTGACTTGGTATGCTCTCAGCTTTTATTATAGTTCAGAGAATCCATCCCTCCTTATTCAAAAGCCAATTTATGCATTTATTTTCTAATTATTAATTAACCTTTTTAATGACAACTCTAGTTTACACAAATGATGATGGTGATGATGACAATAATTACTCACTCCCACCATTATGACTTTCTCTGAAGGGTGAGTTCAAATGTTTATTCTCTTCCCTCAATGTTACATCAAATGGGGATTCAATAGTACGGTTCCTACAACACTCTTATTCTAAATAACTCCCAGATTTGCAATCCTGACACGTATCATTCCCTCTTCAACTATCTTCACACATTCTTGAAACTGTAAATAATTTTTTCTTGTATCTACACCTACTATTGCCTAATCCATTTATGCTTAATATATTGCCTTCATTGTGTTTTGGATCTTGCATTTCTTCCCATTTCTACAGTTGTCTCTCAAATAAATACATTATCAACATAGCTTCCTATCTGTAGTCTAAGAATCCAGTACCTCCCTGATACAATCAATAGTTTTTTTCCAAGAATTATTCTTTCCATCAAAATATTTCTATCAATGCAGTTAGTTAGAAGAAGTTTTAGCTTTCTTTTCCTTACCTGCTTTCCAGCACCCCCACCCCCCAGAGTTTCTTATCAGGTTGATTAATTTGGGAATACAGGTTAGGTTATAGTTATTGCCGTAAGTCATGTGGATATTCATGGCTCTTGTTTTCCGTTTTCTCCCTTTCAAAGAGGTTGGTTGGTAGGTAAGTGGACCAAGGATGTGCTTTTCACAGATCCGCGTCTTGTCTCTCTCTTTGTGCAAGCCTTCACATGCTGATAGTTATATGACAATTTATAACACAAGTTGATCAGAGAAGTTAAGATCCATAATTTATATTTGGTTTTGTAAAAGGCTTCACTTAACATCTTAGCCAACATTCCCATTGCATGGAGGTCTATGGGTACTTTCATCTAACAGTTTTGTAACTATTTTATCCTACCATCCCTAAATGGATCCTTCCTTCAAAAATACTACTTAATACAGTGTCCAGCATTTATTTGTTCTCAGTAACTATTTGTTGAATAAAGGAACAATAGAATGACCATCTCGAAGTTTTTGTTCGTGGTGGGAATAAATGAGAGAGATCAAATGGGCAAAGTGTTCCTCCTTTCCTTCCTTCTTTGGTCACGGTGTCATCAGTCACCAACAAAACCCAGGCCCAACTCTCCGCTTTTATGAGGGCTTCTGTCAATAATTTCTCCTTTGTCTCACCAAATTAATTTATTATCATTTTCAGTACTTTTTCATATTCTTGTCTCTGTTTCAATATTTTACTTCTTCATCATAAAATCGAGCCTTTAACCACTTTAAAACTCAGCATTCAATATATTATCTTTGTGGAATTCTTGACTTCTCTAATTAATATATTCTCAATTTGCATCAAAAGCAATGTATATCCCTTTTCTCTGTTCATTGTGTTGTGCCAAGATACGGGTGTGCTGAAATTTTGAATGAATTTGTATTAAAGGATCTGAATCTATGTCTTTTTTATCCTCGCCTAGTACACAGTTTACTATAAAGTTTTATGGACAAATCTTTAGCTTCTGAGGTTGCTTGGAAATTACAGAAATTGTAAGAGGGAGACAAAGAACAATTTTTTTCATAGTTGTCTATTAGCATCTCAGAAAATAATGTCTAAATTTTCAACAAATTTACTAAACTGGAAATACATTGCTTTAAAAATTGTCAGTAATTAAAAGTGTTTTTTCTGTCACCTAAAAATTCTATCCACAGGTAACATGGCTCTATTTTAATATTCTAAATGTTGTAAAAGGTAATATATTATAGAATCAATCATTTGAATTTGGAAATACTTTAAACTATCACCAACAATAATGTCAATGGATAAGGAAAGTGATTGCCAAATCTGACTCAACTTGCTAGAACTAAGGCTTCAGTGATAAAAAGGTAGTTTGAAGAATATAGGCTTTGACTGGATTATACATGTCAAGACTTACATATACACAAAATTATTGAACTCATACTTCTGCATCCTATGGTCAGCAATTTTTATACACATTCACTGAGTGAGTTGGTGTTTTAACCATGGAGGATGAGCGAGGGCTTTATTATTTTAGAAAATTCATATGATTAACCAAAAGCAGAAACAAAATTAGGGAAGAAATCATGATGATGAAACTTAAACCTAATGAGTAGATTCTTAATTATTTAAACATAAGCTTTTAAACAACAAATATAAGATAAAATAATTGGCCAGATGTTTTCCATCTCATTCACTGTAGATCAAAACTCAAATTACATGAGAAGGGCAGTCATGTCCTATGGGTTTCACTTACAGACTATGAAAGGGATTGGAAATGAAGTTGTATTACAAGAGGAGTGAAAGGTGCAGACTTTTCTAATATAAAGCAGCAAAGCGTAGTTTTAATCAAAACTCCAATTTTAAGTTTTAAAAGCAATATCAGAAGCCTTTTACATTAATAATATCCAACTCCCTCACAGGTATTAGGGTTTCATAAAGCGCGGGAAAATGTCATCTCATTTAATTGAATTTGAAATTTTCTGTATTATAAATATAAAAAGAAGTGTGTTTATATGCCAGGCACATATGCGGAGAGAATGCAGTAGAGTATGAAGAGCTAATATCCTTGAATAAAAAGCAATAACTTGTGCAGGTGGCAGTATAATATATTTTCTCCTTGAAATTACTTACAGGAGCACCTTTCTCTCCAGCTGGACCAGGAGGACCCTGAGGTCCTGGCCGCCCTGGTAAACCAATTGGGCCAGCTGTTCCTGCTGATCCACGTTCTCCTGGTGAGCCCTAGTACAGGGGAGACAGTATTTTGTTATTAATGATGAAAAAAGTGACACTGGCTTATGAATCACTTTCGTAGTAGTGGAATCTTATAGTATAGTAAATAATGTAAAAGTAACTTTCAGACAATTTTAAGATCGCAGAGAGAACCAGTATTCACTATTTAAAAAATCAAATTCTAGCCCCAATATCAAGCACAGATACTAAAGTTAGAAAATATTGATAAGATGAAAATATTTCAAAATTATATATCTTCAATATTTTATAGATGTTATCCTTTTCATTTAAGTATTCAAAAGTGTTTACAATGATATATAAGACGTAAATCCGATAAATGCTTTCCTATACGATTTTCTCCCTGTATTATTATGGATAGGCAGAATACACTTTCTAGACTAGCATTTTTCAAAGCAATTTCTGGACTTCACCTCAAACTTGCTGAATCACAAAGTCCTAAAAAATGAGCTCAGAAATTGTCATTGCATGGAAGTACAAAAATAATTTCTTATATAATAAAGTTCAACAATCCCCATCCCAGAGTTTGGACTTTGTCCCAGAAAGACCTTAAATTTGTCATGGAGTCCTGTAGGGACCACTGTGTTATATTATGAACACTGACTAGATAATTCACATTTGATGAGGTATGTCCAACTGAGTTTCAAAGTAGATGCCATTTATTTTCAACTAATTTGCTTTTAAAAATGCCTAATATGTAAAATTAAAAAAAAACAGTGCAGATACTGCTTTCATATTAATTACTACTATCAACAATTCAAGAAAACACTATTTAAAGCAGGAATAAAAGAAATGCAAACATACATTTGCTAAGTCACATAAAGCTCAAGTATAACCTATTCACTATTTCCAACTTAATTTAATGAACAATGACAAGAATATTGTCTTTGGATTGGATTCATAGATGGGTGACCAAGTTAAAATTTATCATTTTCTTTCATGATTGAACTAAATGTGAAATATTAGAAAATATGACCATTAGCAGTTTTCCCTAATAATTGAGAAGTCTAGATAAAAACATCATTTTAAAACTCAAAGAAATGATTTATAAAAGTTAAAAATATTATAGTTTAGCCTTCATTTTCTGATATTATCCTTCTTATGTAATTAAAATAATTTTATTACAGAAATATGAATTATTGACTTGGTTCTAATTTATATTTTTATTAACTAGAAAACTAAATACCTATGGACATAAGAACCATGAAAATGACAACAATTGGCACTGCTGTACTGCTTTACAATTTACAAGTCAGTTTCACATTTATTTT